TGAAAATGATAATTTGGGTGTCACGTAGACCTGTTGTCGTCAATTGATAAAGTTTTCACTGAGATAAGTTAACTTGTGACTTGTGACAGATGCAGAAAGTCACTTTCTTTGTCAAATATTTGTACAGGTATATCAAGTGTATGAATCGTATACAAATGAAAAGATTGTCGTCTGAAAGAAAGAGGTGGAGCGTGCACGACGCGGCTGTTATCAGATAATTTTCGTGGATAAGGACATAAACATTATCTAGCTGATAACACCAAGATCTGTATGAACTCATTCTTTGAGCATTCCTTTAGTTTACTATAGGTACTTGTAGTGTGAAGCATGTATTGATAAATTCAATATTGAATTATTGATAAAGCAATGTGTGTGTGTAATCATAAAACGATTTTGTAAAAGGGTTTTCGGTTTGTTTGAGTTTCTGATATTGAAAGTTAATATTGAATTTATTTGTTAATACTTGGACCTTCGTCTTTTGTGAGGTAGGTGCTATTTTAATTTTTGATTTTACACATAGACCCATTCCAAATTCGTAGAATTTTCTTGATCTATCTAACGTGGTGCTATAGTAGGATTATTTCATTTATATCATTTATGTTTTTAATGGTATTTTAAAACCTGCTTTCAAACTTGGAAAATACGAATGAGAACCGAATGAATCGATAACCGGTCTGCAATTAGGACGATTAGAGTATTTTATACGGAATATAGTAGATGACAAGGATGGTCTAAGTAGTAAACAAACATGTTCGTAGAGTGTGTGCCGGCTGTGAGTCACAGTGTGGTTACAACTTGACACGAAATGTTCGGAGCAAAAGCACAAGCCCATTAATTATACAGTCGTGTGGTCGCCACTTAAACTCAATGTTAAACAGAAAAAAACCTTTCTCCATTATTTTGTTCGTAAAATATTTTACCTTGAATGTTGCTTTCTTTTAATACAAACGCGTACTTCCATTATTCCGCAAGTAGAGGTCAGATTTTTATTCGTAAAGTAGTCCAGCTGATGAATTAAAATGAACGACAAATGAACGTTATTTGGATTAAGAAAAAAGATAAATAGAGATATAAATCAATAATCGCAATTAACGTTAAGTACTATGTTAATTTATTTTAATACAAAAAACTAAATAATACAACATAGCCAATTGTTATTGCAATTAGTCTACACGCAACAATTATGTTTAATAACAAACGAGGGATAGAAAAGTGGGCCTTTGTTCACATGGAGCTTCGGACAGTGGTATGATTCAAAACTTTAGTATAAGTCAATACATATCAGTCATACCTACTAGCTACGTATTTGTTTAGCATCTGATAAATTAGACGTAATAATGCAGTGCATACAAATGTCCGATGTTCAAGGAAACCATTTCCTTTATTCTAACTCTACAGCAGAAATATATAAGTACCTAGTATGCAAATACATGTGCATAATAAACCACAAATTAGTTGTATTATATTCCCGTACTGCAATGACCTAAGCTGTACATTAGTAATATTCACAATATTGTTGTCTATTCGCAATAATTGACGTCTGTAAGGGTGATGTGTACCTGTGACCCTGAGGCTTATTCAACCAAAACATTGCTTGACTCACGCTGCGGTAGTTTCCACGGTAACCGTGTGTAACTGTTTCAGTAAGTTAACAAGGAAAATGGGAGATGAGAAGTATCTCGCACCATAACAGTCATATATACTATATAGGTACCTAATTACATATCCAGGGAAACAATTTTCAGTTCCGTAAAGTGATGTCAAAATTATATTTAATATTTCCTTAAAGGGGTGACACAATAAATAAAATATAACTTGTTGCTACCTATAACACACAAATCCAAACTACATTCTATTTAACACTGAGTGTTCTGAAAAAGGTAAACCGTCGCTCGATCTGGGAATCAACACATAATAGGTATAATAACACTCTCAGACACTTTTTTCCATAAAGGTAGTAAACAATATAATTTACTATCATAGGTTTTCACATGACTGTAAAATTGCAAATAAACACGCAGTAACTAGTACATATAGCATGATATAGCGATAATAGTAAGTTATTAGTATTGCCCGTGAGGATCCGGAAGCAGGAAGCGTTCCAATGTCGTGTCAATGCGATACGGCGCAGGCCCACGTCACCGGGACCACACGGTACAGCACTCATTGAGATGCATCTCAGAGTAACACACGCCATTAATACTTGCCGCATGTACAATGAACTGATGATGTCAGGCGCGAACTTTAAGGCTGCTACATCACTTTGTATATCGCGAAATGATGAGGAGCTCTGATTCAGCCGATCCTTGTATGATAACGTGATGTAACAGCGCACCCACTGTTCCACCAAGATGTTGCTAGTATACAGCAGTTACGTTAACTGTTAACCCTATCAACAAATAATGAACTTAATCATGTCATATACTACTGTGATAATTTATATAATATCATCTCGCACCTTAGAAACAGAGTGCCAAGCACGAACTACTATCGCATTCGTAACGTAATAGTATCGAGTGCGTTCGGCGCTTTGATTGGCCGGCACCAATGAATCAACCAATCAGAGCGGCGAATGCGCTCTATACTATAACGTTACGAATGCGATAGTAATTCGTGCTTGACACTCAGATCTACATGGTCCATTTTGGCTGTCAAATTACTGAAACTTAGCCTGCATAGTGCAACATGTTATCTCAATCTCAAACAAGTTCTATGACTACGTGCATAAATGCTACCCTTTTAAAGTCACTAATTAAGTAGGATCTTAATATATTATTACTTATTTAAAGTACTTTTTCTGAGTAATCATAAAAATCAATCGATGCAAAAATATGGGTATTTTTATTAAATTACTCATGAAAACAAACAATACCCAAAGAAGTCTATAAATAAGATAAAAAGTAGAAAATAAATAAAAAGTCTTAGTTATCGCAGATTTTCGTGAATCATTTTATTTGTTATTAAAATAAGGTTGAAAATGTCACGTAGGTCGTCTGATGTTGTGTCTTCTTTATTGTTGGTTTTTTTCTTAATCAGTTGAAGGTACGTTTTTGCGTCAAAGCAAATTGTAAGGAATAGTCTATAATTTAACACATATGAAAAACTGACAAAGCCTATCCACGTCAAACAACTACTATTTCACTGAATAAACCAAGGCTATAAAATAACACATTAAGAGAAGGCAAAGAGAAATAAAATATCCTAAGAGGGTATTTTAACCAAAATTCAGAAACTTACAAATAAAAAACAAAATATTCACAGCGTCTGGATAGAAAAAAAAAAAGAAGAAATAAACTAATGTTTATAACAAATCAACTAAAACTTATTCTTATCCGGATGCAACATATAAATAAACAAAGTTGATTAACTATTTATTCAATGATTTGTCTTGACATCATGTTTACACAGTCTCGGTTATCGATTGCGATTTTATTGTCGGGGTCAGATCGATTAAGTTGTAATTAAATCTAATCAGTTTCACTAAGATAACTGAAAATGTTTAGGTTCAATTGAATGCAATCGTTTTGAGTTTATAGAAAAAAAGTTGGAGTAAATGATGTTAGGTAAGAGATTCGAATCCAATGTCGGTGAAACCGGCGCGGGCGCGGCGTCACCTCCGAACCGTCACGCTTCGGCGAGCGTAACATTGCTGGCGACACCTCTGTCAGATCCGCGCTTTCGGTTTGGGTTCTGATAGTATACATCTATCAAAACTAAATACATCACTAACATTGACTAGTATCATATCAATCACATTTTATATAGAATAATTCACATACTGATAAACATTAAAAGAAGTTCGCTAGTGCAATGTTGTGCTATGCATACAATCCAGAGTGCAGGTAGATATTATGTAACTGCTCTTGTTATCAGTCTCCTTACTATGGCTTATGATAACACGGTATCATAATTATTATGTGTAAATAAAATACTTAGTAAAAAAAACTTGAAATCACCGTCAGTGGCCGTAGCCTCATTCTTCCGCTTTGTTTAGCAAGTGATTAAAGCCGTGGTGAATCGGAAATCTCTTGAGTACACGGACATGCAGCCCAGCTGAATATCTAATCAGTTCCCCACATTGTGTCCACTCGAGGCTCGAGCTCAGCTGGCTACAAACAATTTATCATTTTATAATGATAATGTATTGTATAGTATAGTAGTCAAGCCTTCAGCAACTCACATCGAAAATATTTAGGTCATATGACTGTGTATGACATACAGACCCATATCTATGAATTACTACAGAGTAACAAACAGTATTGATTGGTACTACAACAATAGATAATATATGAAGTTACGATAATATGACTGTTCAGTCACACATACATTTTCGAAAAACGAATGAAAAGTATTTTCATGTAATAAATAACCATTATAATTTATTACGAATTTATTGATGGAATGTATATTTATGAATGATTTAGTATAATTATTAGGAACTGAGTGTAAATTGATTGACGTCGGTATGGAGTACTGTATGCCTACTTGTATGAGTAATATAATATTTACAAAGCAATGTGATTTATTGTGTGTTATTGTAACGCATTAATATTTATATGTTGATAATTTAAAAAGATCTTACATAAGGGCAAAGATGATGGCCGCTGAGTCACAGTAATTACTATGGTTGTTGCGGAAATGACGTGTCTCCGACCTCTACAAAAAATCAGATATTCTATGTAGGTACGCTGAAATTGTATAAACATGATTACGGTGGCCATCTACCTATATCTAAAACTCGTGATTAAGTCATAATATATTTATATGCCTTCGACTGCATCACTCAAAGACCGATGATCGTTAGGTAATGTTGTTAACATGTTGCGATAGTAATTGTTTTTTCTTTGTTTCAGATAACATATCAACGTGGTGCTCGCAGATATCGACGACTGTACATTTCAACAAATTACCAAATAGGCTAAGAAAACTATATAAGAGTAATGACAATTATTCAGTCCTTTAGATAATTTTTACAAAACTATATTATAAGGAAATATCAAATGAGCATATCTAGTAGAAGTATAAGGATATCACCGGAGACCATGGCGTGCGTCAGTTTGAGGAGCAGCCTGAGGATATTGTGGACGGTGGTGGCGGCGCTCGTGTTCCTCACCAGGAGTAGTGCCGCGCCGACCTTCGGGGGAGCAGATAAGGCGATGGTAAGTCAATTATATTTTTTTGCATATAAACAAAAACAGTCGCAAAACGACCTGTTAACTTTTTGCTTATTTTAGTGCAACAATTAGGAAATATTGACGTTGAAATGGATTTTACGTTGTAACCGCATATAATTTAATATCTCGCTATTCAACTCAATCACCTGTAGATAACGATAGCATTCGACACTTGGCTGCAATTCAGTGAAGTCATTATTAGGTACTAAGATATTTACTTAATACGGACATCCGCTACGTCCCGCAAATAATCGATAATTATTATCATTAGTATCGGAAACGATATGAAGGTGCGCATAGCTGTCGCTGAGTCAATGATTCTCGGAACGCCACTCACCGGCGCTTCTGAATTAAATTGAATCTGAGTCCCATTCTAGAGTAAGACACACGGAGGTGTTGTAGTAACGTGTTCATTCATAAAACGAGGTAGTCCAGCCGAGATAAGTGGCTTGCCTTTCGCTTCGACACTAGAACATTTTGTTTGTCTTCTCACATCGTTTGCTTAGCGCGAGCCATGAGTCATGCGCACCATATACGACTGCCTCGTTGGCCGAGTGGTCGCAATTGCGACTGCCGAGCAAGGGGTCTCGGGTTCGATTCCCGGGTCGGGCAAAGTATTACTGGGTTTTTAAAAAATTCTCAGTAGTAGCACGGAGTCTGGAACTGTGCCCGGTATATGGCAATAGGCTCACCCCCTATTACATGGGACTCATAACATAAATAGTGAAAAGTGGGTGTTACATTGTACAATGGTATAATGTGCACCTCTGCCTACCCCTTTGAGGATAAAAGGCGTGATGTTATGTTATGTTATGTTATGTTGTTGTGTATGAATCAATGACTATAAATTAATCATGGAATCAACCAACATCCTCCTTCCGAATCCGGTTAGATAACACATGAACAATATGTGTATCTCAGATATTTTTAAGATATCTCTTGACATCTTCGTTTTTTCAGCATTACCTAGTTATCTAGACATCTGTTTCTGTTTTTAGAGATAAAATTATTTTGTTTCATTGTGTCTACCTTGTTTATTGTCTAAAATGAGAGCGACTACGTTAAGCTGGCTTATATTAAGTCTTTTATAACGAGTATTAAAGTCATGGCCTTGTTCTTAGCTTTCGTGATAAAGTCAAAATTCACATAGCAACAAGATTATGGCGGCATATTCCAGACGAGTGGGTCAGTTGAATGTTTGAGAGCCGTTTTCAATTGGAGAAAGTACATAAGTAAGACAGAACGTAATGAAAACACAGTAACGAAATTAATGTTCCGTACTTTATTTAAACTGAAATAACAATTTAATAGTGTTTTCACTATCTCTGAATTGTTGTTTACCTAAGTATAGAATGAAAGGAACATTTTACACGTATACCTAAACCAATGAGAGTGTAATGCCAATACAATGTAAAGTACCTACTCAATAAAAGTTTACTCACAAAACGGACAGTGCATATAAAGTTCTAATCGTGTACTGAGTCACAGTTGGTGCAGTAAGAATTATTACTTCTACGGGTATTCTAGAGGAGTAAATAATAAAATCTCATCGTTTCTCGGAATCCGAGGCTTGAGTCATGCGACAAGTTGTTGAGCTCGCTCGCCGCCAAGTTCTAGGTCATAGAGCACGCTGGCCGGCGACCGGTCGACACTCGGTAACGCAGTGCCCGCACCGCACCACACACTAAACTTGCGAGCACGTAGTAGCGGACCGCATAGCGTGGCGGAAAAATAACTAAGCACTTAGAAATCTTAAAAGATCTGTGCTGATTTTGAGATAGACGGACTCGAGCTCTGTGTATCACGAATACAAATAATCTTGTCGGCTGTTCAAAACTAAACATAGACTACATTCTTTAAAAAGTATTAGCTCCCCACTATTCTATGACCACAGCCCAAAACAACTTACGACTTAATGCCGCATAAGTAGACATTCCTATTACAGTCATATATTGCTAATATTTTCTAGTAAGCTGTCTTGAATTTAATATTGATCATAAATACGTTGCGCTTGGAATACACATTGGTAATATTATAATGTTTATTTAACCGACATCGTTGTCTGTTTCATTGGAAATCATTTATAAACAAAGAAACATAAATAAAATATATGTATCCTTTTAGTTAGATGAAGACATTTTTACAAGAGGAAAATAGGTTGATAACTATTATAGTAACTAGGGAAGTATATAAATTACAATTTATAATTATCAAGGTTAAATTGAGACCACGGGAAACCACAGGTCAGAAGTATATATATATTTTTACAAATAATCAATTTATAAGCTTTGTAAATAAATAGTATTGAGGTCAATTTTGTACGATAAAGATTTGACTTCTTTAAATATTACGAATAATATAAAATTGTATAATTTAGGTGTTTATATAATCACAAAGCAAGAAATTGGATACAGATTTATTGTTGTTTTATATCTTTTTTCCTAGAAGCTTTACAATTTAAACTGTGAAAACTTAATAATCGCGGTTTTATTTATTCCACTTTTATATTAAAAATATGAACTAGCAATCTTAATAAAAGATAATTTCACAGATACTTAAATAAAACTGGGAATCGGCAAGTTTAATCTAATCAATTAAATTTCGATAAGTCCTGAAAACCGTGTAAACTAGCCGAGGCTGTGTCAAGGTTAGCATGCGTTCCACTGACCCGCTTACTTGTATGGCGAACTTACGGTAATTATATTCATCATTTGAATATTTCCACTAACGCGACCGCTTTCAGTATTTTCTTTTTCATACTGAAGTCTCCATTGCCCGAGTTACTTTGTTTGTGTCTTTTTACCAACAGACACGCCTCAGTAGCCTTGTTACTCACGGATATTAGGGGACATAAACGAAAATAACATAAAACTCGTGTTCTCTACAACAAATATTGTTTATCAATGAATGAAGTAACAATAACTGTGAACCTGTAGCTCTTGTAAAGTGAAGTATTGAAGTTTATTGATACGGGGGTTTACAGTAATGTCGACATTGTGACTGAACAAATGTAGGTAGAGTCACATCAGTGTGGCGTAATGTTTTACTTGTCACGGCTTTTCGCAACAAAAAGTGGGAACTGATAAGATAAGGCTATTAATAAATAAATGATTATGTACCTAGTACCATTCAGAAGCAGGTACCTGGGTAAACTGTGAATCAATTGTGCCTACCTAGGCTACGGAACACTCTGTGGTTGGATTCAATTATTTCCATGAACCGGTTCGCAACATGTAATTAACTCCTTATTTATCAGATAGCTAAGCTCTTAATTGGTAGCGGATGACACTTGACGATATGGAAAAACCATAAAATATTATACAGAATCACCCAACTCGTTGTCACGCCGGTGTTGTTTGCACTCTCAATAGGTCTAATAAAAATGTCATTCGTCATAATAGTTCCGGATCAAATTATATTGTGCGCTATTACGTACAATAGAATATCAGATGAATTACTCTGAAACAACATGAAACACACAAATGTTCGTGGTATAAGAGTGGTTCACGAAATATTGAAATTCAGAAATCGTTACTAGGATACGGTTCCCGACAGACGAATGTCGTGCATCGAGCATTGTATTCAGTCACGATAAGGTATGATTGTAAGGCAGTGTGCACCCACTAAAGGTATTTAGGGAACAATTTATAGGTCGTTGTACCCTACCCACGTGATAAAAGCAAGATGTTATGGTTGGCACATTGTCATGGGCCAGGCATTTCCTGTCGTTTCAAACAGGTACTGTTATGATGAACCTATCCATATAGAGAGGGTCATTCTCCTGGCTGAGGTTCCACCGGAGAACAATAGCCGGGCCAGAAAGTGCCAAGAACCTATGATGTTCTTTGTTTTGATCATTCGTACCCGACTCGATTAATGCGATATAAAAATTCGACGCGTGTCCCACACGACGAGTTGATATCTCTCGGAAAATTTTCTTTAGATGTTTAGAACAATGAACCGGCGTAACATAATCGTTGACATGTTTAAATTTATTTTATTGATGTTTGAATTTTAATAAAAGAGATTTTTTATATTACACTTTTCCGTTGCGTAGTCTGCGCATTCGGTAGTATGTTTGCAGTACTGGTGTTAGTTTATAGCCGCTGGTATATCTAACTGTCAACACCGCGTATCTAGTATCTCACAATCACACCAGCGCCTGCTGACGACCTCGAGGCTCGAGAGATGGACGTGATGAAAAACAAAATATTTTTAACGTACATTGCCACCGACCAAAAGTCTTTTAACCCTGGTCACGATTCGCGATCCTGGGAAATATTTTTTTCTTTTTAATTCCGCAGAACATACGATAAAAAATGCGATGACAAACTGTGAGATGTCGCCAGATCGCTTAAGAGATAATAGAGTTAGCCTATTTAGAGATTTTGAGCGCAATATAGACAGTCAGATAAATTATTATCTGTAGAGATAAAGTTGAGTAATGTGTGCGATGCTTGGTAGCGCGGTAAAGCGTGCCGATGGCATGAATTAGAGTTGTGTGTACAGCTTGGACAATAGCGCTCGTCCGACGGAGACAAAAAAGCGACCGGGTCACCTCCGCGTTACCGTAATCTGTCTTCTTTATTTGTAACGGGATTGTCATGTCTTCCTGTTACAAGTTGCATCGGTGGTGATGAGTTTATGTGGCGAGTGGTGGCTGGTGATGGCAGGTCGGTGTGCATGCGCGTCACGCACGCAGGAAGCGCACGACGACCTTCGGCACGCGCGCCACGGCCACCGTCCTCCGATCACTACTGTTCATTGTTCACGACAGCGTCACCATCAACTGATTGATACCATTTATTCCGATATCTATTTGATACGTATGTAACATTTATAATTAGAATTAGGAAACTAAATATGTTTTAGATGCAGAATATAACATGTATATTTTTTCTAACTGCTCGCAAATTAATTTCTCAATAAATCATTCTACGTTTTTATTTTCTTATAAAGTTGGCGGGATAAGTATCGACATACCA